GATGAATATATTAAAGAAATAAAAAAAACAGAGGAAAGAAGAGAAATTCCACAGACAAATAGATAAGTATGGTAAGGTATTAACTCCTATTGCTTGGGGATTGTTATGGCCTATTTTAATTCCTTTGAATATTTATTATTGTATTATAATCTAAATAATAGTATATAATGGGCAATTCGAACAGTAATGTTGAATCTTCAAGTATTGATAAAATTAGTGATATTGATGTAGAACAATTAGATTTAAGTAATATTGATAAATTACAGTTAAACGCAATTAAACAAATGAGTGAAAGATTAGAGAAACTGGAGACAACTAAATGTGACAAATTAATATATAAATTACCAGCGTTGAATTTGTGTAGTTATAGTTTGTTCTGAATTCATAACATTAAGCCATAGGCTTAATGTTATTAATCAAAAAGTATTAATAAAATTTACTAATAAAACTTTGTCTTTCATAATTGATGACTTTAATAGTTATTTTTTTCACTTGTAATGAAATAAAATTATCCATATTACGGCTATACACTAAATTAGGTTCATAAAGGTCTTTATTAAGAAAATAATAAATATCAAATAAATTATTTGATGTTAAAGTACGATTACGAACATGATTCAATCAAGTAAATGAGGTAGATGTAACAAATATATCATATTCAATTAATAATTTTAATGGTTTATGTTTTTGATGTAATTTTTCTAACTCACTTAAGTTGAAAATATATGGTATGCCGTTTTTGATAATATTTTTCATATTGATATTATCAATTTCAAAATAATGCATGTTATTTAATTTGTAAGACTTATACGCTGGTTTAAATTTATTAATATAATGTTTAATAATATTATTATTTTTTATTTTAATAATCTAACATCACCTAAATTATAAGATAATACAAGGTTTTTAATATCTAATGGTAAATCATAAAGTATCATATAATATTAATATATTTATTTATTTAATTAGTAATTTTCAAATAATGTGAGAAGTTTTTCATAAAGATACGGTTAGGGTCTTTTTGGAGAAGGTTAGTATATAAAAAGCTCTGCGGTTCAAGAAGTTGCAGTCTCATATATTTTATAAATTAGTTTCTTGCTTTCTAGAAAATTATCACTTCTAACAATTGCTGATAATTCATCTTGTAATAATTCTATCTCTTTGAAGTTTCTAACTTTATAATAAAACAAATGACTTATATTTACTCTCATAATTGGTGGGACACTTGATGATTTCTGAAGACTGACAAGCGTTGATATTCCACTATGACGTCCCCTACAGAATAAAGAATTTAACAATTTGTTATTTCTTGTTATTGCTGGATTATCAGATACATCGTCCAATATAACTAATATATTAAATAACTTCTTCATTCCTTGTTTTTTCTGATATTCAATTATTTTATTTTGAGTTTCTATAACTCTTTCTAAATCTACAACATTTAACTCATCCCACCAACACGGTTCTTTATCAGTATCTACTTTCAAACCTTCCTTAATGTATTTCTTCACTGGCAACCAAATACTATCCAAATTTACAGATGGGGACCAGATAAAAATTCTTTCGTATGCACCTCTATAAATATCAAGTATCATTGATACAAGTAAAGTTGATTTTCCAGAACCAGACGGACCTACAATCATAGCTCTCATTGGCAATTTAGGGACGGCCTCGTGCTTACTTTGCTTAAAGTCATATTTGATTTCATCAATTGGTTTTACATCAGGCATAAAAAAAATAACATTAAAGACATTTAGAAAATAGTTTAATATTTATTATTTTATTGAATAGAAGTTATTCAGATTATATTGTTTTAATAGATGAAATAGAGAATATAGAACAAGTTGTTATAACTAATAATAGATTTAAGAAAGTATGCTATTTTGTTTTACAATTAATTAAGTTTGTGATACGATATATTGAAAATATAGATATTAATATAGATGGGAAGAAAGAAAAAGAATAAGACTGAACAAGTTGTTTCTTCAACTGATGAAGAAAAAGAAGAAATTGTTAAAGAAACATCAGTTATTGAGTTTGCTTGTCCAATGTGTAAAAAGATGTTAGAAATGAAAAATGAATTAGAAATACAAAAGAAAGGAAACTGTAAATGTTCGTGTATTCCAACAAGTTTCAAAATTAGTAAAAATGATAAGAAAATGAATATTGATAAGACTAAAGACAGTATAAATTTAGAAACAGATGTTCATAATATTGCTATACGCTTTGGGAGGGGAGTTACTCCATCCGACAATGGTGATAAGGAAACTCAGGAAACTGTTAAACAAATAATGAAAAATAGTATTTAAAGAGTAGATTTAACATAATTGCAACATTTAGTTTTAAAAGTTTAGTTTTATAATTTAGTATATATTTACATGGATGAAGGATTAGATAAGATTGTTAAAAAACTGAACAAGGGTTTAGAACAGAATAAGAATATTTTCGAAATCTTGCAAGAAATGGAAAAGAAGAAACCTTTAACAAACAGTTATCAAAGTAAAGAAGTAGATAGAACCAATGGCGAATATAAAAATAAGAAACAAGTGTATTTAAACAAACTCAACAACAAAGAAATAAAAGAGCCGAAGTCCTCCACTATGGCATTTTATCAAATTGACTATGACGAGGAAACGCAACTTTATTCATAAAGTTGCATTTACTCATTGAAAACTAAACATAGTTTAGTTTTTAACGAGGAGGCAGGGATTTATTAATAGATAATATTATCTAAATATCTTTAATAATGAACTTATTAGAGATGTTTAGCGGAACAGGTAGTGTTGGACTTGTTGCAAAGTCGCTCGGTTTCAATGTTATTTCATTGGAATTGAAAAATGCTGATATAAATACTGATATTTTGAAATGGGATTATAAACAATTTGATAGGAACCATTTTGATTTTATTTGGAGTAGTCCCCCATGCACTGAATATAGTGTAGCAAAAACTAGGGGAATAAGAAACATTGAATATGCTAATAGTATTGTTTTAAAAACTATTGAAATTATTAAATATTTTAATCCTAAATATTTTGTAATCGAAAATCCTCAAACTGGATTATTAAAAAATCAGGAGTTTATGGATGAGTTTGATTTTAAAGATGTAGATTATTGTAAATATGGAATGCCTTACAGAAAACGCACTAGGCTATGGAATAACATTACAACTTGGAAACCTAAAGATTTATGTAAAAGGATTGTGGCAACATCAGGAATAATAAACATATTGAAACAGCACAACGGCTACCATCGGGCACTAAGGAAAAATGGGGAGACAATCCAATAATACATAAACAGGAAGACCTATATAAAATACCTAGCGCATTAATTTGTGAAATCTTGGTGAGTTTGACGGATTAAGGATTTTTGAGTTTGGGGTTGGGCTTGAAACTTGAAATTTCTAGTTTCATCCAACGACAATACAGTAAAAAACGGAATTTTAAAAATTGAAAAGTATTGATTTTTAAGGAGATAATCCATAGTTTATCAAATTTAGAAACCACCAATATTCATATAGATATATCCCCCCACCCCAGAAAAAAAGTGATGCAATAAATTAGTTTCAATGAGACGAGAGACAGAAAGACCTCTTTTTTACACACATCGCGGCGCAACCCTGAATTGGGTGGTATGTTTCCTTGCACGGTCTCATAGTTTGGTTTTTCACACCATCCGAAGAACAAAAACTCATGATAGACGATGGACATCGTGGGATTGGGTGATGGAATCGTGGGATTGAACGATGGGAATCGTGGGATTGAACGATGGGAATCGTGGGATTGGACGATGGGAATCGTGGGATTGAACGATGGGAATCGTGGGATTGGATGATGGTGATAGCGAGTAGAACAATGGGATGGTTTAAAATATCAATAGGAAATAATATTTTTACAATGATAAGACGGATGAGAATATAATGAAAATAATTAAGAAGCATTATATAACTGAGTTAATAAGTTGAACTCATAGTATAATTATAACATGTAAAATCTTATATGTTATAATTATACTGAACTTATGGTTTGTAAAGATTGAAATATTATATTTTTCTTGATTTGCTTGACTCTTTCAAAGTGCGTTGTTTGAACTTGGTATGCTCTTTTGATTTTTTCGTGCTTTGGCTGTTTGTTTTTATTTTGTTTGATACTCTTCTGATATTTTTTGTTTGTATGTTGCTTTGTTTTTTGTTGATGTGTGTGTTTGAGTTTGTGTTCTTTGATGGTTTTTATTTTTGCTGTTTTGTTGGTATGCTTGTTTGAATTATTTAATGTTGTATGCTGTGATTAAATATTTTTGTTGCTGGTTGTGATTATTTATTTTGTTTGCTTGTTGTTCTGGATTTTGTTTTCTGTTTGTTGTGTTGCTGATGGAGAAAAATAGTAAAAGTAGAATTCCTAGAATTCTCTTTTACTATTTTTCCCCCCCCCCAAAAAAAAACCTACGTAATAGACGTCGGGCGGGGGGGGGTTAGGGGGGGGTTATCCTCTATCCTCTAGTAAGTATCCGACACGCCGAGCAATGTCGGCGGATAATGCTCATCCTGTGTTTGAGAAGCTTGCATGTTTCTTAATTTTGTCGTAGTGTTCTCTCTCATCTCTTGGCTCTGGCTGTTCTTCTTGACACAACTGCACTTTCTGCAAGTTCACGAACTCCAAGACTCGTAGCCCAGAAGGAGCTTCCTCTACCTCGGTTCCAGCCATCCGGTCCCTTAGCTTTTTAGGCGTTTGGTTGGTTTAGTGGTAGTTTCCGAATTTCACCCACCAACAGTTATGCACTTGTCGCAGATCTGGCAGTGGGTCAAAATTAAACAACCAGGGGACCGCAGATGTTGGTTCATATTTCCATTTAGGCTTGAATTTTGGGTAAAGGATTACGGTTGAATTTTGGGTAAATTATTTTTGGGTATTTCAAATTTACCAGGTCATTTTTCCATTTTTGACCCTACAGGCATCTGAAAACGGGCCCAGCCCGGCACGCGGCATGCCCGTCCGTTTTCTCAGGCCGCCAGCGGCGTGGGCTGCGCCTTTGTGCGCATGGCCAGGCGTGTTTACCGTGCGACTCTTCGGGAAACCCGGTGCGCTAAGGAAACTTCCCCAGAATTAGCTCCCCTTTTTGTTGTTTTGCTTTATGGGGTCCCTTTGTTTTCCACTAACCAGGCAAAAGAGATGATTTTTTGCTGGGGTCGTAATTCCAGCCTAGCAAAATGGGCCAAACCAGGACCGATTCCCCGGTTACGTCAGATTCCATGTGAATTGGTGGGAGGAGCAACCCAGAATGGGTTGTGCTAATAAATGGAAAGGACGAATGCCTGTTTTTTTTTCTGGTGGGTTTGATTTTGGACCCATACCCAAACATGCGATTCCTCTTGATTTGTCCTTCTTCTGAAGGGCGTTGTGCAAATGCAACACTTTTTGACTTGTCCTTCTTTGGAGGGGCTTTTGCACAATTGAAAGCGAGTCCTACGACTAAAGCAGTATTCCGTGAGCGTGTTTGCGGCTGCAATCAACCCGTCTCAGAGGGAATGGTGAGATGGATGCTGTGTAGGTGGTCCAATGGTTTCATAAAGTTTGTGTGTACAGTGAGGCCGAGATAAACCTTCACAACCATGATGGTAGAGCCCAAAGCTGGGTTTCTGGGTGCTATGTCCAGCAGGATCGACGCGGCGGAGGAGGCTATTGCAGAGCTGCACGAGCAGAGGGCGCAGCTAGCAACGTCTTTATGTTTTTCGCTTTGCAACTCGCGGGCGGGAGGGGAGGGAGCTTTCATGGGCTTGCAGAGTGCTTAAACCAACAGAACTCGGTTAGATGGCTACCAGCTTTCTTGGTCTGGCCAGGCATTTCAGCTCAAAATGGACGTTTTGGTGTTCCAACCTAGGGTGCACACATTCAGCCTTTGACTCCCTTCTGGCCAAAGGTTTGCCCACAGCACCCCTCCCCCCCAAAAGAAATACAACACCGGCATAGACCCCAGATAGCGAAACACGTGCGATTGCACTCCAGCACCTCAGCACTGCCCGAAGAGCACCTCAACCAACACCCCAAACAGCATCCCAAAGCAGCACGTGCGCAAGAATCCACAAATTCATGACCTCTAGCACCCTGCCGTCAATCTCGCAAAAACGCACCTGGCCGTCACCAGGCCCCGTCAAACAGCACCCGCACCCGCACCCCAAACTGCGCCCCCAAGCACCCTGCCATCAATCACAACAGTGCGCCCGCACCATCACGCCGAACAGCACGCCCAAACAGCACTCCCAGAAAACCCATTGTTAGAGTCAGATTTGTGTTTTGACTACACCCAACTCCCCCCCACACCTCCCTCCCCCCTGGCCCCCGGTACAGCAAGCGAACGAAATATCATTTCGACCGCACTGCCAGGTCCTGATCCCCGAGCAGGCGGATTTGGGTCCCATGCAGGCGACACCGGGCGAACCGGGACCCCGCAACCCCCTGAAATGGTACTTGAGCAAACGCCTTAGCCATAAGACCGGTCTCTCTTTTGTTCAGCTTGAGCTCACCCTTCGAGCGAAAGTTCACGGAGGTTCCTGTGCGGTTTTTGTGATTTCCGGGAATCTTCCCAGAGTGAGGCCTTGTATACAATATCTCCCGATTTTAATACGCGAGCTCACCGATTCGGGGAACGAGCTTATCATGACAAGGGTCCTAATTCAGCTTTTGAAATATAGTCAGTCTTGACGATATAATTAGGATGCCAGTCTTTGATGGCTTCTTCTGCAAGGGTGGTATCCCACTGCGGATTACACATTAGGATTCATCCGAACTGTGCCTGAAAGGATTCAAAGCTGGGGAGGAGCCGGTGGAGGAACAGTAGGTGTACTTGCTTCAGTTTGTCAGCGTTTGACATGAGTTCTGAGGTATGTGTGTGTGTGTAGCTCAACACGGGAACCATTGTCACAACTAGCTACTTCTTTCAGTCAAGTCCGGACCAGGAATAGAGAGAGAGAGAGAGAAAGAGAGAGAAAGAGAGCATGCCAGCCAGTCTGATTGTGCATCAGAAAAGACTTGATTGGGACACATGATGTTGATCTTGGATGAGACGACTTGGCATTTCTTGAACAACGGGTGGCTAGCAAATGAGAATACTGAGACTTCTGCTGTTTGGTGTTCTGGAAACTTACTAACTCCTCCTTCCTTGTGGACGATGGCCACATGTAAAAACCCAGTTCGACTGAGAATCAGCAGTAGCGATCCTAGAGATAGTTGCAGGGACGATGTCCGCCCCAGGCACCGGCTGCTCAAACCCTCTCAGAGTAGCCTTTTGCTGTGGTGGCTCGTTCCTTCTGCACCAAAGTCGAGCACTGCGGCAATACGAGTCTTCAAAACATCAACTATCTTGATCTCTTGGTGGACTGGTGTCATGTGCCAAGGGCGCCGATTCAAAGTGGCAATGCTTGGAAATCGATCATTATGCACAGTGTATCTTGCCAGACCTTCGAGCCATCGCGGTGCCTATCTTTGGCCCTGGCATTCCGGGCTTCGAAGCCAAGGTCCACTGGTCTTTCATCATTGGTTCCCGCAGCACCAGCATGCCCTTTGGCAATGCGACCCAAAGAGCCGCTGTCAAAATCAAATTGAGCTTTCGTTGGAATCATGTTTGTAAAGGATACATATAGATAAGCCTGCTTGCACACAGACAGACACCAGCAAGCAAGCGGCAACCGGGCGGGTATTTCCACTTGCCTACAAAGAGGGTCACTTATGTCCTGTGTTGCCAATTGTACCGTTTCCGGCGATAACATTCCAGCCTCAGCCCATTCTGGAAGCCCCAAATCCTGCAGGTAGCCTTTGCCAAAGGCGAGGCCATTCGTTTAGGCGCGGAACTGCGAGGGGAATGGAGGCCGCAGGGCCGGACCTACCATTTGGTTGTAGGCAGCAACAACATGAGGATGTGTCCGGCATAAAAAGAGCAGGAACTCACACATATTGTGAATTTGACTTTTCTTTTTTGATGTGAGGAGCGCAGTTTGGTCGCATTACCTCCCTTGTTGGACATGAAGCCAACCATGGGCTTCATGCTTCGATGGATGTTCTGTCCAATCAGCGCAGGTAAGTGGGTGTCTTTGTGCGGTGGAACACCATTTAGCTCAGTCGTGTAATAGTTCCGGAGTAGGGGGCTCCTCCCCTTGATAAGACTGATAAGACTTGCCAGGCACATGTGTTATCCGTGTAGAAAACCAATAATCCCCGTTTGGGAGGTTTGCCCAATTTGCAAGCAAACCATTCGGCGCCAACTACGCCACATCCTCCGTTCCGGCAACAGTTCTTGTTTTTACAAGGCCTCAGGCAACAGGGAGTCTTTTCACTCCCTGGTCCTGCGCCGGCCGCGCAACTTAGTACTCTTGCGAGCTTCTGAAAATGAAATGGGTTTCCGACCGCGTTTGGCTTGGTCTATATATATAAACGGGAAACCAAAAAGTTGTTCTTGACGATCATGTGACTCGCTCAGGCTGAGCCCATGTGAGGCTCGCTTGTCGTCCTGACTCGGCAGGTTCATTGATATCGAACTCACTCTGCATGCCAGGTCTGGATGAGAAAGAAGAGATCCTGCCAAGTTTCAAGGAAGCTCGGCAAAAGGCCAGGCGGGTGCTGAAGTTGGTGCAGGTTTCAGCGGGTTGATCAGTGGTTCTTGGCATGTAACTCTCAGATAATAGTTTGTAACACTCAGTCAATGGTTCGCAGTCTTGATACGCTTAAATTCAAGAGACGTGCAAAGCACTGAGCAATGAAAGAGTTTTCTTTAATAAGCTGGCTAGCTTCTTATGAGATCTGTGTCGATTGCCTGCTGGTCCGCTGGCATGCAACAGCACAACCTACAGAGCCTTCCTTGTCCATGTATGACTTCATTTGCTCATTAAGACCCCACAACCTCATCTTAATGATGTAGGCCCTTGTAGTACATGCAAGTCGCCTGTGCTTTTGTGGCACTTCTCACGCGAGGTGGTGGAGCATCAGGAGAAGAAGGTATTCTTCGAAAAGATGCAGAAACAGCAGGAGGAGCCTCGTGAGAAATGCTGAGTGATGTACATGGGCGTGTGCCATCAAGTCTTTCACCAGCATGCCGAGAAGTTGTTGTAACAGCATCAAACGGGACCACTATGTACGCAAGAATCTGAACAATATGTTCGCAGTATGTCAGGTGGGACAACTATGTGAGCAGCTATGTGTGGACGTGCTAGCGATTTCACTTGCAAGGCGCATCAAACTTAATGCAACCAATTTGGCTCATTCCTTGCCCATAAATTGGGCGCGAAACCTCACGGCGAGATGTGGAGCATATATGAATATGTGTGTTGCTCTCTCTCTCTCTCTCTCTCTGGGCGGGTGGGTGTGTGGGTGTACGGGTGGGTTCGTGTGGGTGGGTGGGTGATGGTGTGGTGTGGTGTGGTGTGGTGTGGTGTGGTGTGGTGTTGTGTGGTGTGGTGTGGTGTGGTGTGGTGTGGTGTGGTGTGGTGTGGTGTGGTGTGGTGTGTGTGTGTGTGTTTGGAATTTAGAGGTGCCTTTTGTTCGATTGGTGCAAAGGGAGCCAAAAGCAGGAGGGCGTAGGGGTTGTTAAGCAGCTTTGGCGTGAGCCTGAGCGAAACAGCTCCTGGTGCAGATCTTGGTGGTAGTAGAAAATATTCAAATGAGAACTTTGAAGGCTGAAGTGGAGAAGGGTTCCATGTGAACAGCAATTAGGACATGGGTTAGTCGATCCTAAGAGAGAGGGATGTTCCGCACACGCAAGCACTTCGGAACCCAAGCATTTCGGGGATTCCCCTACGACCCGTTTGACACATACCCAAAATGATGCCTCTACGATGTGACAACCGCAACAGCTCGCAAAGGGTGCCTGACACTATGACATAAGCCGAGACCGCAACCAGCCTGCCAGAGCATTCGCACCATAGATCATTGCCCATTCCAAATTCAAGTACCTAGTGCACTGGTTCAATTGATAGGCCCAAGAGCTTCAGTGCAGACTGGAATGCATTTCAGGGGATCCGTTTCAAGGGTTCGATCAGGCAAGGTCCAATATTGCTTGCACAGATAGACAATAATGTGTGCAGCATCCGAAAGGAACCCATTTGTTCGAACCCATTCAACAGGTCAGCCCAACATTTGCCAGGAGCAAGCCAAGGCGCCGGAGTTTGACATGCCTTCATCGGGTGTTGCAAGTGGCAATAGATAGCACAGCCTCAGCACTCCCTTGCCATGTCTCAGAGCATAAGATATGTAGGACTTTGCCAAGGCTTCATTCTGGGAGAATGTGCGAGTGGATTGGGATGGTTGGGATCCTGGCTTTGACAAGCTGAGCCAGGCCCCACTAGTTCCGACAAGTTTGGGCGCACAACCTTACAATACATATGTGAGAATCGGCCAAAATGACCAGTCTAATTGGGGGCAGGTTGACCATACCCTGGAAGTTCTCGGCCGTTTCTCAAATGGCCATGGTTCAAAACCAATGGTGCCATTTTGGGATAGGTGCACCACCCATTTTAGTCTTTTTTAATGGGATTGGGATGTTCACTAAAGGTACGGGGTTTTGGGCCATGGCCAAATGGTCTATTCGGAGCGAGCGTTTTGTGCCAGTAACAGCCATGTATGTAGCATTACATTTGTTTGAAGCCATGCCTGCCAATACAATGCCTCTTTGGCCTCAAGAAAGTCACAGTGGCTATGACATTGGGGGGTTTGGGGCAGTTTGCCGGTGCGAGTGAAGTCTTGAAACATATGTTTGCTTCAGAGCATCAAGTTCATGAGCCGCATAGCCAAATACTGGATCGCACAACTGAGCATGCGCAAGTCCCCACAATATATATATATATAGCTACTGGGTGAAAGATCGGGTAACCCCAAAATGGGTTAACCTGGTAAGTGGAAACATGGACCGGTCAGACCAAAGCCTGCGGTCCGATTCCTAGCGATTTAATGTTGACCCATACTCTTACATAGCTAGTGAAGGATGTTTCTTGTCTTGTATTGGATTGTGCGCGTAGTTTGAAGCAATATGCAAGGCATTGCATGAGGTTCCAATGCAAAACCTATCCTTCTGAAAATGTACTGCGACAACAACTCCTCATTGCAAATACCTTGCTGGGCTTCTGTTGAAAGCAGCGTGAAATTGCCGTGAAAGTATGAAACACCGAAGTTGACCGTGAAACACTTTTTTGCCGTGGAAGACTGTCTGTGTTGTTTGCCGCAAATACACAACATGCAAATTAGAGGCGACAAGCACACAAACTACATGGTTGCTGTTTTGCGGATTCTTACATTCTTGGCAGTGTCCTGAGGCACACAAGTTTTGGATCGTTGGCGCACCGATACCCATGATCCTGCAAAGGAAACAGCCTATGCGCATGCTTTGTATGTAGGCTCCAACGCTGTGCAAAAGGGTGGCCTTCTCAACTTAGGCATCTCATAGCTGGTTGTTTGCGTGGCTCACATATCAATTTCAGGTGAACAATGTGGCTGGCTTGTTCCCCTGTCTTGGCTTGAAAGTTTGGTCCAAAGTCAAAGCGTGATTTCTGATTTGTTGCATGCCATGCAAAAGATTGAGCGGCCGGCCTTAGCTTGCGCGTGTTTTGTTCGAAGCTCGGAAATGCAGTCGACCGAAATCGGCATCAAAACCAGGGGTGTAAATACGCCTGACGTCCACTTTATGCGTGGAGCTGAACAAATTGGGTTGCTTCTCAATTTCGACTAGCTTTCTTTGTTTTCAGCCAGACTACTCACAAGCCACTGCCCCAATGCTCTTGAATTACACCATCATCGACCCCAAACAGTGAGAACCACACACACTCAGCCCTAGTCAGCCGATGTTTTTACGGTTGCAACAGCGCCCCGCGCAACTTGGCCTGCAGCAGCACCCTGCGCAACTCTGAGTCTCGGCACGCAGCAGCACCCAACACACCTTGCAGCAGCACCCTGCGCCCTGCGCAACCCTGCAACAGCACCCTGCACAACTCTTGAGTCTCGCCCTGCAGCAGCGCCCTGCCTGCAGCAGCACCTTGCAACAGCACCCTGCGCAACTCTGAGTCTGGGACAACAGCACCCAGAAGCAGCACCCTGCGCAACTCTGGGTCTCGACCTGCAACAGCACCCTGCATGAGTCCCGGCCTGCGGCAGCACCTGGCAACATGGCCTGCAGCCTGCCTGCAGCAGTACCTTGCAACAACACCCTGCGCAACTCGGAGTCTGGGATTGCAGCAGCACCCTGCCACAGCACCAACAGCACCCAGCAGCAGCACCCTGCGGAACTCTGGGTCTCGACCTGCAACAGCACCCTGCATGAGTCCCGGCCTGCGGCAGCACCTGGCAACATGGCCTGCAGCCTGCCTGCAGCAGCTGGCAAGTCTGAGTCTCGCCCTGCAAGCAGCACCCTGCAGCAGCACCCGCAGCAGCACCCTGCAGCCGAGTCGGACCATCTTGTGACAGCATCCAGCCCAGCAAGCGCGTGAGGAAACAAGTGGGGAGACAAAAGGAAACAAGGGGAGACAAAGAGCTGACTGAGCCAAACCATCTCGTGACAGCATCCAGCCCAGCAAGCGCGTGAGGAAACAAGTGGGGAGACAAATGCAAACAAGTGGGGAGACAAAGGGCTGACCGCCAGGAGACCAGACCATCTCATGACAGTGTCCAGCACAGCAAGCGTGTGAGGAAACAAGCGGGGAGACCAAAGGAAACAAGTGGGGAGACACAGAGCTGACTGAGCCAGACCATCTTGTGACAGCATCCAGCCCAGCCAGCGCGTGAGGAAACAAGTGGGGAGACAAGTGGAAACAAGTGGGAGTCCGAGCCAGACCATCTCCTGACAGCATCCAGCCCAGCAAGCGCGCGAGGAAACAAGTGGGGATACAAATGGAAACAAACGGGGAGACAAAGAGCTGACCGAGCCAGACCATCTCATGACAGCATCCAGCCCAGCAAGCGCGTGAGGAAACAGGTGGGGAGACAAAAGGAAACAAGTGGGGAGACAAAGAGCTGACCGAGGAAACAAGCCGGGAGACAAGGCCAGACCATCTCGTGACAGCATCAATTCGAAGTAAGAATTAAGAACCCCAACAGTAAACTGTTTGGGGAATAAAGCTTAGTCTTTCTGAGCGAAGCATCTGCGCCAAGCTCCTCTCTTAGGCCACGGCTGACGGACCACAGCTGCAAAACGACAAACATTTGTCTAGCATCCTAAAGCCCATTTGGCCCAGTTCTGCCAAGCAGGTTGCGATCGCTTTCACGGAAACAAACAAAGGTGTACATTCCTAAAACCCATTTGCCAGAACAGAACCTTTTTGGAGCGTCCTCACCCATGTGCCGGCACGAGCTTCCCGGCCAGATTGTAGAGTATCAGCACGCGCTGATGCAGCAGCACCAGGCGCGGAAACTGGAGATCCGGCAGCGAGCCGATGGATCCCAGGACCAGTGGATGGACATTTTTGGTGTGCCCTTTTAATGAATGCCTCAAAATGATGGTTTTTCTTTTGGGTTCCCTTTAAACACGAAAAACAGGTACCCTCAAAATGGCGGGTTTCGTGTTGGTTTGCCTTTAAACACCACAAAGAAGGACGAGCCGCCCATTTGGATCAACCACTGAAATGGTCTTCCGAATGACTCCATGATGTCTTGCTTGGGGCCAGGGTTTAAGATTGGAATGGTGTTACCAACTCTTTTGCGAAATGTGCCCTTTATGAAGCATTGGATTTAACTGGTTGACAAAGTGTAAGCATTCTAAGTTTCAAGGACCCTCGACATAAATGTCCAAGTGGATAGGGGACCAACTAAGCATATCCATACCAAGTACTGTTTTGCTTCAAGTCTTTCGGGGTTTCTCCAGATAGCTCAGCTTCCCAAATCAACTTCCCAAATGGTGGTTTGGATTGGTCGGTGAAACGGGCTGGTTTCCCATCTACCCTCTACATCCAAACCGCGAGTTCAAATCCCCAGTTCCTACCAATCCAAACCACCCAGGGACACCTGAATAGCTTCTCTGCAGGCGATGCTCTCTCAGATCCAGGAGAAGCCACGAGAGGACAGCATCCGATCAACCTCACTCAGCTTGCGAATCGAAATGCGTGAAGCAATTCGGTGCCTAAGGCTTCAGAAGGGAGCGTAGCGAGGAGAGCCCTAGATTCGCGCACCCAGGTTGTTTGATCAATATTTTGGGGAGTCCTCGCAATGCAGCGACAGGTCATTGCCCGTGTATGACGCCGAATCTGTGTTTATGTGGGAATCAATCCAGTTGTCCATGTGTGCCTCTGGATTCTGGTTATTTCGTGACTTGCATTTGTGGTGCATCAATATCGTCTAATATCATTTATGGCTCGGAACACCATCAGCCACTCGAATTACGAGATGCACTCCATGTCTGCAGATGGTAGGATCTTGTGGGCATCGTGAAAGATGGCCAGCGTCATGGTGGCACTCCCTTCAAGTGCCTTGCTCAGTGAGATGGCTGCAGATTGCCGGGAACCGGACAAAGCCGGTTTGGGCGTATCGATTCCATGTCCTTTGTGTTCAAGCGTGTTCTGTCCCAGGACAGCGAAGGAAAGATGAGAATGGCTACAATCACACTTGTTTCGCTTGAATGCATATTGTCGTCTTCAGCAACGTAGAACCATCTTATCGCATACGCACTGTTCCATCTGTGGATTCAGGGCGAGCAAGTTTGATCAGCTATGTCGGCCTGTCCCGTACTTGTAGCGCGACTACACCTATGAACCCGACTGGCCAAATCATCAAAAGCCGTGCCGATACATCTCGCTTCCCGCATTTGTTGTCAACACTCCAGCTGAATCAAGAGGGTCTTGAGGATGCACGGCCACTTCAAAGATCACTAGCAGCTGATTTGAGTGTTTCTCAAAATAGTGCGCCCACTTTTATTTGGTTTTTGAAGGGAAACCAAAAGAAAACCCACCAATTTTAGGGACCACTATTTTGAGACAACCTTATTTAGGAACACATCCCGATTCCTTCCGCAGATGGGATGTATCCTAGGAACGCAACTCGGACACTCGGTGCCCGACCTCAGGCAGCGGTGGTGGAGTTTTTGCGACGCCGGCTGGTCAGGGCCCCAGCGCCCGCGAAAAGTGTGAAGACGTCCTGACGGGAGAATCACAGGAGGCTGTGTGTTGCACTGCCTCAAGCTAAGAATACCAGCCAGCAGACGCAACAGAGGTCTGTAAACCCAGATTCTCAGATGGGTATCTAATAACAGGGATCCCCAAACATGGGTAGTTTTCCTTCCTTTGGGTTTACCTTTATATACCAGCAAAAAGGGGGCCACCTTTTTGATAATCTCCCAGATGTTACCATATCACTATAGAGAGAGGGAGAGAGAGCGCGAGATATATAACTCGACGGGCGGGGGCGTTTGACCTAGGACTGGGTGCCGGGACTATGACCCCAACCATCACGGCAAGGAAGCCTTGGCACACTTTGTCTCAGCAGCTTGGCGCCAGAGCGATCGGATCCGGCCTCGAGACATGTGTGTTGTGTATTTGGGGGTCAGGGTTAAAGGGAAACCACATAGAAAACCAAATTTCCATTGTTGGGGTCCCCCCCAGTTTGCTGCATTCCTAGATATCCCTGGACTGCCATAGCCATGCTTTTTGTTTTTCGCGGCAGTCGTGTGTGTGTGTGTGTGACAGGGGTTACGAGTTGCAACTCATGTCGAGGACCTGGAACAGGGTTGCTTGGGTTTCCCTTGAGGATGGTTTGAAACATACCAATTTGAAGTGAGTTTCCTTTTGGTGGGGTAATGCTTAAAGAGGAAATACAGGGATCCCGGTAGAAGGCAATTTAAGCAATCACAGTGTGCGAAGCAAATGTCTACCACGATACTAGTGAGCTCGCTCCAGTTCCCGTTTGTTGAGCAGTACCCCATGTTTCATTTTGTCGTTTGGGTTCCCCACTAAGAATCGTCAAGCCACAAGAAGCGACTCGTTTAGCAGGGGACTGTGTTGCAGCGAGCATGGCAGATCAACTCAGACATCGAGGAAGTTTCATCTCACTTCCCGAGTTTCGTTTCGGACTTTGGTCATTTTTGGGATTGGACCATTCTAGTGGAACAAGTAAAGTTTGCTTTTTTGGGCCATCCACGTAGCCCAATGTTGGAGCGCAAGCGGAGTTGCAAGAATTAACCTTCCAGTGCCATGCATAGTGGGCACTATGACCGTTGAAACAATGTCCATGTCTGACTTTCTGTGACTGCTGTGCGGTTTTGCGGCATAGTCTTGGCAAAGGAGTTGTCAAGTCCTTAATTGAGTATTGCAGCGGGCTAGCACTGAATTCAGTTCTTCACCTTGAGGTGTTGCAGCCGGAATCGTGCCTTGCCGTCTCTCAGGTGGCATCCACCGAGTATGGCTGCGCGCTTGGTCAGCTCGTCCCTGCTCTTTCTTCAAGATAGGCTGCCAAAACGAGCAGGTTGCAAAGAGTCCTGAAAACTGTTGGTTTGTGGGGATAAGAGTTGTCCTAAGTGTCCTCAAACAGTCCAGACCCTCTCACCATGTCAAGCAAACATGGTTGACCCTGGTCTCCTCCCCCCCCAAGCAAACAACCAGTGACTCAACCAGCGTCCGCCGAGGTCCAGAGAAGTGGTTCAACTCCCGGTTCTCCAACCTGCCGGGTCTGCCTCCGAAGCCCAAGGGCATGCCGGAAGGCAAATCGAATCCACGGCCGACGGCATCGTTTTTTTGTTTATCGTTTTTTGTTTGGTCGGTGTCGGTGGAGTGAAAAAAGGGGTCGGACCCCTCCAACAAAAGTCGGAAAGAGCAGAAAACCGGAAAACACATCCAGGTTTGAAAGGAGCTTTCCCGAAAAGGAAAATCGGCTCCGTTTTGTTCTGTGGGTGCTGTATGTGGACAATACGCCGAGCGGCAGGAACCAGAGAACCCCAAACCCAAAAATCCCACCCATTGTTAGAGGAGACTCCTGAAACAAATCGGAGACCACAGTTGGGCTCCTTGTTTTTATTTGGGGAGTAACGTCAACGGGTTGTGCTCCTACCAAGCTACCTATGTCTTACGGGCAAAGGTCTGAAGTGGGGCCGCAGTGTTGCCGATGAGGAACTTTACGGGCATATGTCGTTTTTTAGATGACCCCACAAAATCGTGGTTGCCCTTTATGTCAAGTACGTAGCAAAACCGTCCACGGCAATATTGATTCCGTTGGGGAAAAAACATGGTGGACACTCACCAGACGAGAAACAGGGGACTCACTAGTTTGCCCATGTTCTGTACAGTAGCCACATATTTTGACCATGGCTATGTAGGAATCATCTTCCGCGGCACTGCTGCTCACATTCTCAAGCTCTCTTTCTTACAATGTGTAGCACCTCCTAGGGTGGCATTCGCTTGTGGTTGGCATGCCTTCAGTTTGTCTGAGGGCATGCACTGCTTACCCCATCAACTTCTTGCTCCACCCAGCGGCAAGTTCAGGGGTATGGGTGCGGCATGTTTTGCCGTCAAGCGAAGCCTTCAAGAGCTCGCTCTGCATGGGAGGCATGCCGCCGCCGCATGGCATGCCCCCGCCGCACATGCCGGGCAGCCCAGTGGAACCAGTCCAGAATATCTGCCAGCTAGTTCATATATTCGGCGTGTGTGTGTGTGCCATCTATTTTCTGTGGGACCGCCCTGGGCGGCGTTTGGGCTTGCAGGTGTACCAGCGTTTTTTCTCGGCCACCGTTGGGAGCCTGACTCTCATGTCAGGCGTGAATTGGAGGCCTGTCTCAGCCAAGTTGTCGCATGCCCATCGCGTGAGGCATATGCCGCCCTTCATGGGTCCACCAGGGCACATGCCGATGCCGCCGCCAGGGTGCGACGGTGGAAGGGCTGAGGGGCTGAGGGGCTGAGGGGCTGAGGGGAGGCGAAGGATCAGGAATCCAGACGGCTGGAGGCAAGCAGACGAGGCTCCAGAATGGGCCCATTGTCCCTTTTTTTGTTTAAAAGATATGCACAATGGAAAACAGTTACGTATGCAGCCAGGTGCTTTCCAACTTGACTTGAGCCTTTTCATGTGACTGTTTGACACTGCGTCCGGCATCATGTTGCATCACCCGAAGACCTTGGATTCTATGCAGATAGGCCCTGAACACAATAGCAACTCGCCAGCAACCCCCGTAAGGCGCAGGTCAGCGAGTCAAGTGCCGTCAGCTGTTGAATCCTTGGCACCCGCAATTCATTGAGCCCAGAAAGCCGTTCGACAGCTTTGCCAAGAGTCTTGGAGTGTGAGCCTAATTTTCCAAACTTCCCCAGGTTGCGCAAGGATCTTCGGCAGCCCTATGCGAGGGGGACGGTTCAAGGTTCAACCATTGGAAGGCCTATGAAGGGAACCAAACAAAACCCGGTGACTTGTGCAGCATGGACTATCATCATCCCATGACTTCGGTGGAAAGCAGCCGTAAATTCTACCCAACCGGCGGAGGGTTCGCCCATTCTGGATCTCTGCCTTCAACCTCGAACCCCCTGGAACATGTTCTTGGTTACCTGCCCCCCTGTCCACATGGAACCTGACTGAGGGGTCTTGAAAGTCAATCTTCCTTTTTTCAGCGGACCCTCTGGTGGGTTCCATGTTAGTGGACAGGGTACATGGAAGCACTCGATGATGTTTGGAATGTGTTGGCCTCGGCTTCACCAGACCGAAGAGCACCTGGTCTCGTTCGCCAGGATGCCTTTCCCGCCGATGCATCACGTACCACCGCCTTTGAGCCATAGCCTTAGCTACACGAGGAGGAGGGAAATGCTGTTGGGTTGCTTGATTTTGACTAATTCGGGTGTGCCCTCACGCAAACCCCTGCGGCAGTGGGCGGATACATACACATTTGGGTCCAAATCCCTATTTTGGGTTATTTTTTGGCGCATAGCCACATGGAAGTCCGGTACTGGCGCGGCATGATTTCGGGGCAAGTCTTCTAGGGTTGGACTGTCCAGGTCCCATACGTAGAATGATCGTTTTATTTCCTTGGGGAGATTTGAGCACAGAGCTTGGCAGAGAAATTGAGCATGGGGATGTGTTACTCGCGTTGTTTCCTTGTGTTGTTCCGTAGCCTTTACGTTCGGTTTGCATTCCATGCAACATGGTTGTCCAAATGCTGGAGTGAAGCTGGGTATGTGCCAAAAAAAGGGGCCAGCGTGTGTGCCATGAAACCAAGGTGCAAAGGGAAGCCACAGAATGCACCCAGCCAAAATTGATTTGTCGGCCTCGGTGATTGGCTCAAGATGGTCTCTGCGTCGCTTCCAGGCTGAACCTAAAAAAATACAGTGTTCGCTTCGTGGTGAGCAAAGCAGCGTTCTTTTAGAGGCTTGGCAGCAACCTGAGTGATGATGCTCAATGTGGAACAGGGATGCTGGTGGCAGGTGTAAGCCTATGTAAAAGCTGCTCTTGCCGAGCTGGTGATCCTGTTGACACTGATTTTTCGGGTAAAGACTTTGTTAGACTAGGCGAAGGGCTCTCATCAAGCCAAGCGCGGCTGCATGCTTTTCGAAACATTTTGATCACTCTTGAGCTTGGCTGAGGTTAGTCGGAACCCTGTTCCCGATTAACAGGCATACCGTATGAGTCCTCTCCCTTTGGTTGTTCTTTGAGCCAACCCCCAAAAGCGCTCAATAAGCCTGAATGTGGCTGTGGGTCAAAACCAATGGTACCATTTTGGGGTAGGTGCACCACCCATTTTAGTCTATTTTAGTGGGATTGGGATGTTGACTGGGGGTACGGGATTTTGACCCATGGCCATGTCAGTGCTCAAGCAGTTTAAACCGACCATGGACGCGGTGTCCTTGTCACCAAGGTGATCTCCCTGCAGGAGATGGGGGCGGTGGGATGCCCAGGGCAACTGGCTGGGCTTGAGAATATATGGGGGGCTCCAAAAAATAGATGTCCCCTTTGGCATGGTTTTGCAGGGGAAACCAAAAGGAAACCAACCACCTGAAGGGGTCCGAATTTCAAGAAGCACCCTTATCATCAGATATCAACGAACAATATTCGGGTCAGCGTGACAAGTCTCGAGAATTCCATGCAAAAGTCAGAAGGTATGGCACTGGGCGGAGACTTAGGCTTCAGATTTTGCTGGGTATGTGTTAATATGGACCCCCCAAAAGGTGGCTTATTTGGCTTGTCTCGCAAACCGAAAAAGCTAGGTTTGTCTTTCTGAAGGTACCTGTATGTGTTGTTTTTTGCAGGAAACTAAAGGGACACCAACCATTTTCTGGGGTCCATCAGGAGACGAACCTGCATGGCCTTTTGAAACAGAATTTGTTCTGTTTATGGTCTCAAGGCCGGTCGCCGCTGGATTGGCCTTGTCATAGTTTATCCCAGTGCTGTAGCCTTCATTCCTCTTATATGCCATTGCTCAAGACCATGAAGATAAGTTCCCTCCAGACTTTTGCCCCATGTTTCTGTTGAGGGCTACTGATCATGCTGACAGTAGAAGTTGCTACTGAGTCCTTGAGGCAGATCAAATGCTCGAATTGCTTCCCCTTGGTCTATTGAGTCTATTGTCCCACTTTTCGATCCAAGATGTCTAAATCATTTATGGCCTTGCTTGATTCGGCTAGGCACTCCGGCTACTTGGCCATTTATTTGCGGGGCATCGCGACATGTTAGATACATGTAGGGTGACAGGCACCTATGGTGTCGCCCAGATGGGGCCCGTTGGTTCGGTCGCAGGTCCAGGCGGAATGGGGACCAAGAAAGCCCCAAGGGGCTTGCTTGGCCGAGCCCCAAGCCCCCCGACACGCGCAACAGTCGGGCTCGCAATGTGCTGAGGTCGTCGGGATGGCAGGGTGCCCAAGGGGCAACTCGAGGGTAAACCGTGCTGATAAAAATGTAGGTAGGTCTTGTAGCTGGAGGTCCCGCATCTTTTATGTTTTGGAATCGTAGTAGAGCTCGCAGAAAACTTCTTTGCTTGGCTTGGTTTGGTGAGCGGCCTACAGGCTTGCCTCGTATAGGTCCTTTAGTTTTGACATTTTAACGTTTCAAGGTTGTGCCCTTTCTAGTTTGGTCTAGTGAAGCCAGCTTTGGCAAAGCCACCCCCCCACCCCCACCCCACCCCACCACCCCGCCCCCACCCCACGAACCACCACCCCACCCACCACCACCACCCACCCCACCACCCCACCACCCCACCACTCACCACCCCACCACCCACCACCCCACCACCCACCACCCCACCACCCACCACCCCACCACCCACCACCCCACCACCCACCACCCCACCACCCACCACCCCACCACCCCACCACCACCACCCACCCCACCACCCCACCACCCACCACCCCACCACCCACCACCCCACCACCCACCACCCCACCACCCCACCACCCCACCACCCCACCCCACCACCCCACCACCCCACCACCCCACCCCAACCCAACCCAACCCACCCCACCCCCCACCCCCCACCCCACCCCCCACCCCCACCCCCACCCACCCAACCCCCACCCCCACCACCCCACCACTCACCCACCCCACCACCCACCACCCCACCACCGCACCCACCCCCACCACCCACCACCCCACCACCCACCACCCCACCCCACCACCCACCACCCACCACCCTCCACCCACCACCACCACCCCACCACCCACCACCCCACCACCCACCACCCCACCACCCACCACCCCACACCACCCCCACCACCCCACCACCCCACCCCAACCCAACCCAACCCACCCCACCCCACCCCCCACCCCACCCCACCACCCCACCCCCACCCCACCCCACACCCCACCCCCACCCACCCAACCCACCACCCCACCACCCCACCACTCACCACCCCACCACCCACCACCCCCACCACACCCACCACCCCACCACCCACCACCCCACCACCCACCACCCCACCACCCCACCACCACCACCCCACCACCCACCACCCCACCACCCCACCACCCCACCCACCCCACCACCCCACCACCCCACCACCCCACCACCACACCACCCCACCACCCACCACCCCACCCCGCCACCCCACCACCCACCACCCCACCACCCACCACCGGACCATGGATCCAAAGATGCCCCCCTCAACCGCGTGTTCGTGCCAGGCCCAATGCTGCCGCAGCCTGGCGGAATGGAGCATGGATTTTGTGGCAGAAAGATGTGCCATATAGACCCTGTGACTTCGGTCTATGGTGGACCCATAGGGGATTTAGACAATGAGGGGGGTGTTACCCATCCAGATCCTTGAATCAGCCCGAGGGGGCACCCATGTTGTTTGCGGCGATGCCACGTCGCCAGGAACATCCCGAAATTTGCTTGGCGATGAGATAACTCCGCTCTAGCAAGAAAGGCTGCCAGAAAGTCTGCTGAATGTCGACGCGCCAGAAATCCACCTGCGCCAGTGAATGCGGCAGGGGACTTGGTTGCGGATAGCCCAGGCCAGGGCCTCCGGGGCCGCCGCCAGGGCCTCGGGGGCCGCCCATGCCACCCATGGGGATGCCCATGGGCGCGCCGCCCATGATGCCGATGCCTCCAGGGATGCCGCCAGGCACGGCTTGAAGATGTTTGGAGGGTGCCCCCGTTTTGGCTTTGCAGGGAGGCCAACAGGATGAAGCCACCATGCATGTTCGGGGGTCCCCTGAAACGGACACACACACACACACCCATGGTTTCGTTGAATATGAGGCTAGGAATGCGCCTTTGACCACCCCACCCCAACCCAACCCAACCCACCCCACCCCACCCCCACCCCACCCCACCCCACCCCCACCCCACCCCACCCCACCCCCACCACCCCACCACCCCACCACTCACCACACCCCACCACCCACCCCACCACCCACCACACCCACCACCCCACCACCCACCACCCCACCACCCACCACCCCACCACCCCACCACCACCACCCACCCCACCACCCACCACCCCACCACCCCACCACCACCACCCACCCCACCACCCCACCACCCCACCACCCACCACCCCACCACCCCAAAATCGTGGTTGCCCTTTATGTCAAGTACGTAGCAAAACCGTCCACGGCAATATTGATTCCGTTGGGGAAAAACATGGTGGACACTCACCAGACGAGAAACAGGGGCCTCACTAGTTTGCCCATGTTCCCTGTACAGTAGCCACATATTTTGACCATGGCTATGTAGGAATCATCTTCCGCGGCACTGCTGCATCACATTCTCAAGCTCTCTTTCTTACAATGTGTAAGCACCTCCTAGGGTGGCATTCGCTTGTGGTTGGCATGCCTTCAGTTGTCTGAGGCATGCACTGCTACCACCATCAACTTCTTGCTCCACCGACGGCAAGTTCAGGGTATGGGTGCGGCATGTTTTGCCGTCAAGCGAAGCCTTCAAGACTCGCTCTGCATGGGGGCATGCCGCCGCATGGCATGCCCCCGCCGCACATGCCGGGCAGCCCAGTGGAACCAGTCCAGAATATCTGCCAGCTAGTTCATATATTCGGCGTGTGTGTGTGTGCCATCTATTTTCTGTGGGACCGCCCTGGGCGGCGTTTGGGCTTGCAGGTGTACCAGCGTTTTTTCTCGGCCACCGTTGGGAGCCTGACTCTCATGTCAGGCGTGAATTGGAGGCCTGTCTCAGCCAAGTTGTCGCATGCCCATCGCGTGAGGCATATGCCGCCCTTCATGGGTCCACCAGGGCACATGCCGATGCCGCCGCCAGGGTGCGACGGTGGAAGGGCTGAGGGGCTGAGGGGCTGAGGGGCTGAGGGGAGGCGAAGGATCAGGAATCCAGACGGCTGGAGGCAAGCAGACGAGGCTCCAGAATGGGCCCATTGTCCCTTTTTTTGTTTAAAAGATATGCACAATGGAAAACAGTTACGTATGCAGCCAGGTGCTTTCCAACTTGACTTGAGCCTTTTCATGTGACTGTTTGACACTGCGTCCGGCATCATGTTGCATCACCCGAAGACCTTGGATTCTATGCAGACAGGCCCTGAACACAATAGCAACTCGCCAGCAACCCCCGTAAGGCGCAGGTCAGCGAGTCAAGTGCCGTCAGCTGTTGAATCCTTGGCACCCGCAATTCATTGAGCCCAGAAAGCCGTTCGACAGCTTTGCCAAGAGTCTTGGAGTGTGAGCCTAATTTTCCAAACTTCCCCAGGTTGCGCAAGGATCTTCGGCAGCCCTATGCGAGGGGGACGGTTCAAGGTTCAACCATTGGAAGGCCTATGAAGGGAACCAAACAAAACCCGGTGACTTGTGCAGCATGGACTATCATCATCCCATGACTTCGGTGGAAAGCAGCCGTAAATTCTACCCAACCGGCGGAGGGTTCGCCCATTCTGGATCTCTGCCTTCAACCTCGAACCCCCTGGAACATGTTCTTGGTTACCTGCCCCCCTGTCCACATGGAACCTGACTGAGGGGTCTTGAAAGTCAATCTTCCTTTTTTCAGCGGACCCTCTGGTGGGTTCCATGTTAGTGGACAGGGTACATGGAAGCACTCGATGATGTTTGGAATGTGTTGGCCTCGGCTTCACCAGACCGAAGAGCACCTGGTCTCGTTCGCCAGGATGCCTTTCCCGCCGATGCATCACGTACCACCGCCTTTGAGCCATAGCCTTAGCTACACGAGGAGGAGGGAAATGCTGTTGGGTTGCTTGATTTTGACTAATTCGGGTGTGCCCTCACGCAAACCCCTGCGGCAGTGGGCGGATACATACACATTTGGGTCCAAATCCCTATTTTGGGTTATTTTTTGGCGCATAGCCACATGGAAGTCCGGTACTGGCGCGGCATGATTTCGGGGCAAGTCTTCTAGGGTTGGACTGTCCAGGTCCCATACGTAGAATGATCGTTTTATTTCCTTGGGGAGATTTGAGCACAGAGCTTGGCAGAGAAATTGAGCATGGGGATGTGTTACTCGCGTTGTTTCCTTGTGTTGTTCCGTAGCCTTTACGTTCGGTTTGCATTCCATGCAACATGGTTGTCCAAATGCTGGAGTGAAGCTGGGTATGTGCCAAAAAAAGGGGCCAGCGTGTGTGCCATGAAACCAAGGTGCAAAGGGAAGCCACAGAATGCACCCAGCCAAAATTGATTTGTCGGCCTCGGTGATTGGCTCAAGATGGTCTCTGCGTCGCTTCCAGGCTGAACCTAAAAAAATACAGTGTTCGCTTCGTGGTGAGCAAAGCAGCGTTCTTTTAGAGGCTTGGCAGCAACCTGAGTGATGATGCTCAATGTGGAACAGGGATGCTGGTGGCAGGTGTAAGCCTATGTAAAAGCTGCTCTTGCCGAGCTGGTGATCCTGTTGACACTGATTTTTCGGGTAAAGACTTTGTTAGACTAGGCGAAGGGCTCTCATCAAGCCAAGCGCGGCTGCATGCTTTTCGAAACATTTTGATCACTCTTGAGCTTGGCTGAGGTTAGTCGGAACCCTGTTCCCGATTAACAGGCATACCGTATGAGTCCTCTCCCTTTGGTTGTTCTTTGAGCCAACCCCCAAAAGCGCTCAATAAGCCTGAATGTGGCTGTGGGTCAAAACCAATGGTACCATTTTGGGGTAGGTGCACCACCCATTTTAGTCTATTTTAGTGGGATTGGGATGTTGACTGGGGGTACGGGATTTTGACCCATGGCCATGTCAGTGCTCAAGCAGTTTAAACCGACCATGGACGCGGTGTCCTTGTCACCAAGGTGATCTCCCTGCAGGAGATGGGGGCGGTGGTCGCTGGGATGCCCAGGGCAACTGGCTGGGCTTGAGAATATATGGGGGGCTCCAAAAAATAGATGTCCCCTTTGGCATGGTTTTGCAGGGGAAACCAAAAGGAAACCAACCACCTGAAGGGGTCCGAATTTCAAGAAGCACCCTTATCATCAGATATCAACGAACAATATTCGGGTCAGCGTGACAAGTCTCGAGAATTCCATGCAAAAGTCAGAAGGTATGGCACTGGGCGGAGACTTAGGCTTCAGATTTTGCTGGGTATGTGTTAATATGGACCCCCCAAAAGGTGGCTTATTTGGCTTGTCTCGCAAACCGAAAAAGCTAGGTTTGTCTTTCTGAAGGTACCTGTATGTGTTGTTTTTTGCAGGAAACTAAAGGGACACCAACCATTTTCTGGGGTCCATCAGGAGACGAACCTGCATGGCCTTTTGAAACAGAATTTGTTCTGTTTATGGTCTCAAGGCCGGTCGCCGCTGGATTGGCCTTGTCATAGTTTATCCCAGTGCTGTAGCCTTCATTCCTCGTATATGCCATTGCTCAAGACCATGAAGATAAGTTCCCTCCAGACTTTTGCCCCATGTTTCTGTTGAGGGCTACTGATCATGCTGACAGTAGAAGTTGCTACTGAGTCCTTGAGGCAGATCAAATGCTCGAATTGCTTCCCCTTGGTCTATTGAGTCTATTGTCCCACTTTTCGATCCAAGATGTCTAAATCATTTATGGCCTTGCTTGATTCGGCTAGGCACTCCGGCTACTTGGCCATTTATTTGCGGGGCATCGCGACATGTTAGATACATGTAGGGTGACAGGCACCTATGGTGTCGCCCAGATGGGGCCCGTTGGTTCGGTCGCAGGTCCAGGCGGAATGGGGACCAAGAAAGCCCCAAGGGGCTTGCTTGGCCGAGCCCCAAGCCCCCCGACACGCGCAACAGTCGGGCTCGCAATGTGCTGAGGTCGTCGGGATGGCAGGGTGCCCAAGGGGCAACTCGAGGGTAAACCGTGCTGATAAAAATGTAGGTAGGTCTTGTAGCTGGAGGTCCCGCATCTTTTATGTTTTGGAATCATAGTAGAGCTCGCAGAAAACTTCTTTGCTTGGCTTGGTTTGGTGAGCGGCCTACAGGCTTGCCTCGTATAGGTCCTTTAGTTTTGACATTTTAACGTTTCAAGGTTGTGCCCTTTCTAGTTTGGTCTAGTGAAGCCAGCTTTGGCAAAGCTTCAGCTGCAATTCGTTGGGTCCAGCTGTTTCGGGTCTCGCGCAACCTTAGTGGACTGCATCCATTCCCAAAGGGCATGACCATGTACCGGCAAAAGTGAATTGGCCAAAAGCTGTCGACTGTCGAAACTGTTTGTTTACCACCAAGATTGTGTTCACAAAAGTAATAATAATCCGCTCTCAACCTTATACCTTCCGTGTCGACTTTGAGAGTCCCCACAACCATTGCAGTCGCCAAACAACAACACTACGCAGTTCCACTGTCTCCATGGGATTGGGGCCCCGAAGGTTTGGTCGTGTCAGGAAACCGGCGTTAGACAAAGCTCCACGCCAGGCACCAGTTGGGATGGGTGGTGACCAGCTGCCCGGTTGGGTTTCATCCACAGAAGCAGCTTGGTGGTTTACTTGTCGAATTGGTGCCTTTGGGATTGGTGGTTACCCTCCTTCCAAGAATCATAGAAGTGGACGGTGGGGTTTCGGTTCCTCAAAGGAAAGCCTTCCAAAACCCTTCTGTCCACTTCCATGATGATATATAGTGGGGGTACTTGTTTTCTTCGGGGTTTCATCCATCCCACTTGGGTGGCTCGTCTCTGTTTTTAGTTGGTACCCCCAAAAGTGGTGGTCTTAAAGTTCAGCTGCGAGAGGCCGAGGCCATGTTGGGGACCCACCCACCTCCCACTCACCCACTCACTCACTTACCCACTCACCTCACCCCACCCCACCCACCACCCCACCCTCCCCCACCCACCACCCACCCACCACCCACCCACCCACCACCCCACCACCCACCCACCACCCACCCACCCACCCACCCACCACCCCACCCTCCCCCACCCACCACCCCTCCCCCACCCACCACCCCACCCACCCCACCCACCACCCCACCACCACCCCACCCCACCCACCACCCTGTTCGGGGGTCCCCTGAAACGGACACACACACACACACCCATGGTTTCGTTGAATATGAGGCTAGGAATGCGCCTTTGACCACCCCACCCCAACCCAACCCAACCCACCCCACCCCACCCCCACCCCACCCCACCACCCCACCCCCACCCCACCCCACCCCACCCCACCCCCACCCACCCAACCCACCACCCCACCACCCCACCACTCACCACCCCACCACCCACCACCCCACCACCCACCACCCCACCACCCACCACCCCACCACCCACCACCCCACCACCCACCACCCCACCACCCACCACCCCACCACCCCACCACCACCACCCACCCCCACCACCCCACCACCCCACCACCCCACCACCCCACCACCCCACCACCCACCACCCCACCACCCCACCACCCCACCACCCACCACCCCACCACCCCACCCACCCCCACCACCCCACCCCACCACCCAACCCCACCACCCACCCCCACCAACCACCCCCCACCACCCACCCACCACCCCACCACCCCACCACCACACACCCACCACCCCACCACCACCACCACCCCACCACCCACCACCACCACCACCACCCACCCCACCACCCCACCACCCCACCACCACCACCACCCACCACCACCACCCACCACCCCACCACCCACCACCCCACCACCCACCACCCCACCACCACCACCACCACCACCACCCACCCACCCCACCACCCCACCACCCCACCACCCCACCACCCCACCACCCCACCCACCCCACCACCCCACCACCCCACCCCCACCCCCACCACCCCACCACCCACCACCCCACCACCCACCACCCCACCACCCACCACCCCACCACCCCACCACCCCACCACCCCAACCCAACCCACCCACACCCCACCCCCACCCCACCCCACCACCCCACCCCCACCCCACCCCACCCCACCCCCACCCACCCAACCCAACCCACCCGGACGCCATTTTGAGTTGTTTGCCTATTTTGGGCGCCCCCGTGTCGAGGCCCGGCCATCGGCGCCAAGACGCTGGCAAAGGCATCAGCGCCGCAGCCCGGGCCCGGGGCCCCAGGGACCGTAGTCGCCGGGTGGACGGGTTCCAAGCCTCGGCTCCTCAGTACCCATGCGCCCTTTTTTGGGAAGTCAAAGCTACAAAGGGAGAAGTTGGAAGTAGAGACTTTAAAGGAGAGACACAACACAGATGGATGGGTCCATGTGGATTGCGGGGAACTCCGGAACCCATTTAAGTTAGAACCGTTTTAGAGGCCAAGCACCACAGCAGGGGATGGAGGGAGCGGTATACTTTCGGATGATGTGTAGGTGCAAGACCACATCATGCTGGGAGATCCGCACAACACAGTCACAGGCAGCAACAAGTTGATTTCCACACTGCGAAGTCGCATACAGACCGCTTTGGGAGTTTTCTTCCACTACCTCAACCATGTATTCTTGCGGGCTTCTCGAACAAATATGTCGTGCAAGTCTGTGCTGATTGTCCCTGGTCTTGCTCAAAGCGAAGGCGCTTTTTGCCCACCGGCCAACGGACAGACACCCCCACTCCAAAAAGTAATTGCAACGCGAGGCAGCTCAACAAGCTATTCTTTGAAAGGAGTGAGTGTAGCCAGATGATGGAAGGCTTCATGTTGACTTCAGCATGTTCTTCGCTTGGGAAACTGACTTATTCAGCTACTTTCTTGAGATTTTGTTTGCTGCGCGCTGTGCCTGGCAAAGTTCAGCGCCCCTTTTATTTGGTGGTTTGGATGGGTAGGTTTGGGCGTTACGGATGGTTTCCCGTTTACACTCCAACAGACCCAAGAGTTCAAATCCTCAACCACCAATACAATTCACCAACTAGGGGCAATCTGAAAGTTATGCGGCATAATGATTGTCCAGATGCTCATGTGAGGCAATGCACTCAAGTCTGGCACTACTGTGCGGGGAGCATGAAGCTGCACTGCTTTGCTTCGAGGAAGCGTCCAAGACTGAATCGCAGCCGATGAATGAAGCTTCCTCCGATTTGTGACTGGAATCAGAGTGCCCTCAGACCATCCGCGGTGCTCTTTGCACTGCAGCCCCGCAACTAAGACCAGACTATCAACCTCAGTTCAAGAGTTCAAGGTCTCAATCAGCACACAGCCTCATGAATATCGAAACCTCTTTCTGCAAGCTTCACATAATGTTTAGAGGAGCAATTTTCCCAAGTCAGTCCAGGGAGGGGTGGGTGTGTGTGTGTGTGTGAGTGTGTTGGTTGTTTTTTCTTCACTTGTTGGCAAGGGACATTGGGTTTTTCAGAAAGGCTTGCCCATGCAAATGCTTGCTAGGGCGTTCCAGGTGGCATGGCACAAAAGGCAAGCAGGTGACATAGGTCGCATGAGACATACCCAGCATTCAGGTCCGACGACTCCTCGGATGAGTCAGAGGCAGGGCCAGATTAGCTGCTGACTGTGGCGGAGTCCGACCCCAAAATCTGATGTGTCCAATTCAAGATTCGAAGACAGCCAGCTAGCAACCCTGAGCAACCTGACCACGACCGCCATAGAACCACTGGGATATCCATCAACAGATATCCATCAACAGATAGCACTCTCTCGAGGACGCGGACATCGGGGCCATCAATGCCGATGACATTTGAGTGCCACAAGCGGCGCATGAAAGTCTTGCTGCCCACTGCCAGTGTTTCACAGCAGGGCGGAAAGGGTAGCTGCGCATTCCGGTGCCTGGGTCAAGAGTAGATTCTATCCAAGAGTCCAAGAGCAGATCATATCGAGTAACCGTTGATGACCAATCAATGTGAGCAGGCTGGGTGTTTGCCCCGAGCAGTTAGAAGAATTGGACTCGATTTCTTCACTGTGGAGCCTATTCGTGTTTGCTGCTGGCAATGGCCATGGCGCCTGATGGCTGGCGCATTATCAGCGATGGCATCGACCGTTCAACGCCGCCTTTGCCTTTGCCGTGAAAACGAATGCAAGAAATGTCTACCGCATGATGCTGAGGTTGTAGGCTCAACAAAATGAGGAAGCAAGTCTCAAGGCATGCTTGACCCATAAGACGCCGGAGAACATTCATGCGTAGAGGAATCTGCATTTTCTCGAAATTTTGGAAACCACAAGAAAGTGCTTGGGGCTTCAAGCAGTACCAGTTCGAAGAAACTGGGCTCAACGCTGATTTCCGCCGATGATTGGCTGCACCAATCGATTCTATGGGGGAGCGTGTCTTTGTTCAGGGCGCCTTTTTTGGGGTGGTGTAAAAGGATCCCGTGCTGATCAATTTTTGTTCGGACTCCATGTGTCCTGTTTGGCTTCAATACCATTTCCAAATGGGGATGCGCCAAAATCTCATGGGGACAACAAATAGGGATCCCATTTTTGTACGCCCCTGACGGGAAACTCGGGACCAGGGACTGCAAAATGTTGATTCTCATACACATATATGTGAGTGGCTTGCCCTTGGTTTGACCAGTGCCCCAAACGGGGGGTTGGTTTAACTGGGACACCAACCGGAAAACCCCGACGCCAGCCCGGGGTAGCCTACCGCCAGGACTTTGCGCGGATGGGCATCGACACTTCCCTGATTCCCAATCCGGAATGCCCCTGGCGCGTCCGGGGCCCCGGGGCCCCGTCTGACTGGGGAGAGCCAAGGTGCCATGTGGCTGTCAACACAAGGTAACCGGTGAACATCAAAATAGATGGTACAGTGTTCATGCGCCCCAAAAATGGAGGCATAGGTTATGAGCCATGGCCATGTCTCCCGTTTTTGGCTCAGTGTTGTGTAGTTAAGAGGGAAGAATCGAATCCGGCGATGCCCTGGTGTTTTTTGGTGAAGGTGCTCGGGTGGGAGATTGGATGCAAAGTTTGCTGATTTGTGCGCTGCCCTGGTTGTTTCCAGCCGGTCATCCTACGCGTGCCCATGTGGGTTCATAGGATCGACTGCGCTCAGAAAGGCTTCCTTGTCAGCAGCAGATTGGTTTGTCAAGGCGGTTTACCTCCGGGAGAGGCACGGCACATTTCCGCAGTGATGTGCCCACCCGGGGCAGCAAGAATGGCATCTGGAACCTAGGGGAGTCAGCCGGTCGTCAAGCACCTGCCCAATGGGAAAGCGGGCATAAAACACGACACCTGCGGAGAGCGTTGCAAGCACTCGTGAGTTTGGGAGCTAGGAGGTGCCGATGCGAGGCGATGCGTGTGTTGCTTGGTGGCGGATGTTTGACCAGTTGGTGTTGGGTCTGTGTCGCCGGCCCGCACTTTGTTGAGAGCTTGATGGAAAAGTAGCAGCAACTAGGGCACCTTCGCGCTTGGGCGAACTAGTTGCAGTGACGGGAAGGCCAGTACTGAGATCTCAGCTGTGCCTCAAGTGTTTGACCGCAGGTTTGTCCCAGAAATTGGCGAACTGAAGGCTGGAATTTCCCAGACTCCACTGTTTGCAGCGAGGAAACTTTGACACACGCTGCTCCACTGTTTGCGGCCTCCAAACCTAGCTCAGGCAGCAAACAGGCATCCCAGGCAGTTCAGTGCCACCTTTGTCCATGACTAGTTGATGGTGGGTTTCCCTTCAATCCCAAAAGAGTTTTCTTTTGCCTACATGCGTCACTGGTTGCCTTCGAGCATTGGCCCACCTGAGGTCTCCGAGCTGAATCGCTCCTACAAGCTCTGTAGCTCCTATCCCTCTTGCCTCGTGCTGCCTCGGCGCATGCCAGACCAGGCCACGAGCCGAGCGGCAAAAACCCGTGCTTCTCATGGCACAAGTTGAAATGCTCCCATAGAAGCAAATTAAACGACGCTGTTGCAAAAGTGCAGTGCCTTTTGACATCCTGGGGCCAACTCAAAATAGCCAGTCTGGAAGTCCTCGGTGAAAGTGACCAGGCCTCGTTGGCACACCACTTGAGCAGATGGCACATTAGGCGTTTTAAGACAACAAACTCAGAAACGAAGCTGTCTCACCCTTCTTCGACGCTTCACCTAAGGTTAAGGTTGGGTTGCTAGACTTTCCATGACCAATGTGCTGTCAAATGCACATCTCCTTAACCAACGTTGGTCCTTGACCATATCAAAGTCGGCCAAGTGTTAGTGGACCTGCCAGAAGTTGCTAGCACTCTTTCTGGGCACGACCTGCATGTGTGAGGAAGCCCGGACACTCAGCATGAATTCGTGAATCCCAGGTGGCTGTGGCCCTAAGCTGGAAGTCTGCAAATCAGCCTCGATCTGGCGTTTCATCGCTGAGATGGCCCGATTTGGTTTGCGGAACTTCTAGTGACCTCAGCGGGGGGGGGGGTGGACCCTTAAAGGCTTCTTTTTCGAAAGTGCCCTAAACGTCCCGCGTCTGATAACCCCCTCCTCTTTTTTGAAGACTGACCTGTTTGGCGCCTGAGCAGCCAATACTACTTGAAAGGGGCCCTCCAAACCAGTTCTAGCATCCACCAGAACCCGTCTCCCCCTGATTCAAGACGCCCGTTGCCTCCCAACAAATCCAAAAAGGAAAACATTGCAAATTTAAGCAATTCTAATTTTGACAAGCTTTTTTGGGCCGGGCCCCAGCTTTGCCAAGCTCCCTGAATCCTGAAACTCTCCAAGAGTGCTGCCCTATGGCCCGACACCCTCCAAACTCTCGGTCTAGTTGGACCTCGATCTGGGCAGCTACCAAGCGGGAATCATTCTTTCAGGTTTGTAAGTCTTTCTTCAAGTACCCTTCCTCTCACTAGCATGGCACCTGACAGAGGGTTTTGTTTGAAAGGGACACTGATCCTAAATTGTTTGGTGGCTCAAAGTTAAACAGCCGGGGTTCCGCAGGCTTTGGTCTTTGTTCCCGTAGACCATGCCATTTCGGGTGCCATGTTTTGCCCCATAGCCATTTGTCAAATAAATGAATAATTGGTTCGATATAAAACAATATATATATATATATATGTGTGATTAGCCATGTCTTAAACCATCACCAGGGATGTCGCGATAGTGACTGACCGGTGGTGTTTGGCTCAAGTTTGGATCCGGCGCGCCTCGGATGAGCGTCGCCGGGCCCTCACGTCGACCGCCTTCGTGTCGGAGGAGAAAGAGACTTCGGCCCGGGGTAGGTTGGTGGGGATCGCCCGTGCGGTTCATCGTCGACCAAGGTTGCGGGTATCCTTTTCTCATTTGGTTTGTTTCCTTTTGGTTGTTGTTCTCTGGTGTGTGGGAAACCCTGATCTTTGGGACCGGGGATTGGTTTGCTTTTGGGGAACCTTTCTTTCGTGGCTTGTTTACCCCAACTAACCCATTGCCTGGGCACAGGCTCGTGCCCGAATCACAGGTTATCAGCCGTAGGACTTTCCTACGCGCTTGAGACCATCAACTACAAGTTCGATGACGTCGACCCCACGATCCCGAAGGAGCGTCGTGGATGAGGAGGCCATTTTAGGTGGCCTCCGCTCAGGTGAAGACCTACCGGACTACGACTACGAGGATTTCGAAGCAGGTTCGACAGGTCAGGACCGCAGGGGTGAAGATCCCGATAGGGACACACCCAGAAGCCGTGGCAGGTTCACTGACGATGGAGATGATCGCATTTTCCGTCAGGCCACCGATGATGAGCAGGCACAAAGAGCTCGCCCCGATAGGAGCGGCTCTGAGTCAGGTCTCGGGCATGGACATTTGGACTTCATCAGCATGGCGATGAACATGGCCCGCCCTCATTCGGACGACCCGGAGGCCATGCCGACCCGACCCCCAACATCTCTTGTTCCAGGTGAATCGCAGGTCTCGGATGAGCTCGGGGACAGGCCGCGAGGACCAGGAACCATGGTTCTGGCTCCGAGAGATATCTCGGGTCGATCCACCGGTTCTCAAAATCCAGGTCAGCTTGATGAGCACGAGGAGAAGAAATTCACAGGCTTCGGATACGATGCTCTGTTGAAATCAACCGCAGGCTGGGGCAGTAGCGCAAAGCAGGAGTCTGATGCCGATAGGCCGAACCCTGCCGCTGCCGAGTTTGAATTTGATAACGATGAAGATTATGCCGCAATTTGCGGATCATCGTGATGAGGAAAGAAGCCGTGCTGCTGCAAGGCCCAGGAGCCTCTCTCGTGGAGCTGCCAGGGACCTTCGTGTTGACAGGGACGCCCGGAGCGAGAGAGAGAGAGCCAGGGATAGCCGGGAAGTTCTTCGGGGTTTGGAGGCCATCCATGACCGGGAGGGACCGATAGGTCCTCCGGTGGTTGACAGTACCCCGAACCAACATTACCTTTGGAGGTCCGTTGCATCAGAGAGACGAGAACGCGAACCGGGTTACTGGTTCGCCGAGAGTCACTGAACGGGCTGCCGAAGTAGTTGGGACAGGTGCGAGAGACGGTCGGCTTGCCAATGCACTCGGAATCGAGGATCGTCCGTTGATCGCTAGCCCATTAGGGCGAGATCCCAGCGATCTCGAACCGCTAATAAGGTCTAGCAATGAGTTTACTCCCCAATGAGGATCGGTCGCTAGGGAACGAAGTGCTTCTGCGAAGAGGCCATCACCCCTGGCCATAGAGACCGATAGGTCAAAGGCAAGGAGAGCTAGCCCTTCACCATTAGGTTCAACTCCGCAGGATGAGGAAATGTTCGATCCTGCTGATGTTCATATCCACTCTACTCCTGAGTCTCGTGCATCCAATGTTGATCCCCGATCTGGCGAAAGCCGGAGAAGGGGATCTACCCCGAGTAGGCCGCCCAGGATTGATGATAGTCCCGTAGGTGACCCCAGAAGATATGCTAGAGCTGGTAGGGCTCCTGAGAGGATCGAGATATCGACTCCTCCAGCCCACAGATCTCATTCTTCTGGCGAGTCAGGTGACGCTAGGGCGAAGGAGGTGTTCGATTTGCACATCCAGGAGATGCTCGAGAGGGGTGAGGTATCTGGTTCAGTCGCGAAAGCATTCCATATTTTTGCTGACCAAATCAGGTTACGGAATGGTCAGGTGAGTTCCATGCGAAAGGATTGGAGCGACGAGAATCAGCAGACGAAGGACAGGGTTAGTCGTTTGGCCACTGAGGTTGCGATCTGATGCCGATAGGATGCGAATGATAGTTCAGCGATTTGCCAGCGAGATTGTCCCGGATAGCAAGGCCATTGTCAGACGTGCCATCGATGAACAGGCTGAGATTGTGGATCAAAGGGTCAACTTGCTGTCAAATGAAATTCACGAATCCGTGAAGGACAATGAAGTTGCTACTAGCCAGCTTCGTCAGGTCATTCAGGAAAATCATCAGGCCATCCGCAGGAGCCATGCTGCTTCTGAAGATGAGACCCTTAAGGACTTAGACAAGATCGAGAAGCGAATCTTCACGGTAGAGAAGACCGTCGGGCTGCGGACGCCGGCAGGTGATCTGACTGCGCTAGGGCCCGATAGGGCTACCAGCAGTGGGACAAATGCGAATTTCAGGGAACTAAACCTGAAGCTCGAGAAACTCCGCGTTGAAACGACAAGCTCGCGAAGTGGGTCACCGAATCTGTTGGTGGTCTTCATGAAGAGCATGTCGGTCTTGCTGAGCAAGTATCAAGATTGCGAAGCGGAAGGGGGTCCCAGGCGGTCGATAGACCTGCAGGGCCATCGGAAAATCCAGGATCTCTCTCGTGGACTCCACCGTCAACGTCAGAGTCATGACGATGTCGCTCGTAGGATTGAGACTGTGAGCTCCAGTGTTGAGCAGTACGAGGCGAGATCGGGGATTTTGAATCAAGTTCTCGATGATATCAGAAGACAGATTCGTAACCTCCCAGCGAGTAGTGATCAGCCACGGTCCGCCGTTAGGCGTGAACTCGATTCATTTCGCAACAAGCTGGAAGCCGCAATGCGGAGAATTACTACAGTCGAGAGTAACATGCGTACTCTGAATGGAATGAACAACAGAGTCATGGCTCAGCTTTCTGAAATTGAAGGTCATGTTGATGAGGCTGCTGACATTATTCAGGATGTCCAGCAGAATCCTTGAGGACTCAGAGAAAGGCCGAACGTTGGGTACAACGCCTTTGCCGGGCAGGGGCACAGGATCAGGTCACCGACGCCTACTCCTGGGGAAGGACATGGTCGGGGTACCGATCTTCCGGTGAGGCCGGGGGACAGGGAGAAGGTCGACCCCCACACCGTGACGAGTGAAGACTTGACTGCGTCGATAGACGCGTTAACTAGGAAGCTGAGCGACATGCCCGAATGGTCGGGCAACTTGCTTGATCCTGCAAAGTCTGCTGAGCTGGTTGCGGCAAGATGGGGCGGAAAGGCGAGTTATGACAAGCCTGAAGCTCCTCTTACTGAGGCTGGGATGAAGAGTGCGTCACTGGAGGATCGAGTTTACGCCCTATCGCAGCTGAATGAGATGGTGAACTTTCACAAGAAGCACCTGTGCTCTGGACGAGGAGCGCCATTGGTAAGTGCGACCGCTCCCAGTGGGCCCTTTGCGCCCGATCAGATTGACGCAAGCAGGAGATTCCGCACGAGCGAAGCAGCGAGCAAGATGACATACAATCTCGTGGTTCTGGACGGAAAGAAGGACTACCTTGCCGATAGGCAGGAAATCAATCCGGATCTGCGGGCCACTGGAGTCGTGCCTGATGAGGCTGTCACTTGCCAGATTGTGGTCCCCTCCAAGACAAGGTTGAGCGAGTTGCGTTCCGAACTACGAGGAGACCACGGCCACCGTCGCAGGGCGGGAGGCGGCTCAGGAGTTGATGAAGCTGCTCTCGTTTGATTTTGAAGGTTTGGTCATCAACTCAAAGAGTCTCGGAGTTATTCGAGGAGCAGGTGCTGAAGGAAACTGGACGAGAGGCTGGAAACTGGGTGAGTAGTGACCAGGCTATCTGGTTCCTGAGGGAGATCACGGGCATGGAGAATGCCGAGATGACGTGGAAGTTTTTCATTCCGGCGATCAAAGCCTTCCCGATAGGGCAGGTTGAGGTGATGCTCATGATCATGTATGATGGGAGTGGTGTCCTCCTCAGTAGCCATTGGATGTGAATGTTGACGAACTCCAGTCGGCGCATCATGCTGCGCAGGGTCCTGGTCCTAAGCAGGAGCCGATCGTCAAGGGCGGAAAAGGAAAAGGAAAGAAGGGAGAGAAGGGCGGTAAGGGCGGTAGTCCTTCCGGCCCACCACCAAAATCAGGTGAGGTGCCAGGAAAAGGGTCTGGCAAGGGCGATAGCCCATCTGTTCCTCAGGCAAAAGCAAAGGCTGATGCTGGGCCGGCTCCGATGGAGGTTGATGCGACTGCGGCTCAACCGAAGAAGACTTGGGTCGCGATAGCGGTTGAAGGAGCCCGGCCAAGTGCGAAGGCTAAGATGACCCCGGTCCCGAAGGCCGAGCCAAAGGGAAAGGCAGCTTCAGTTTCTGAGGCGAAGAGCGCTTCGGCCCCGAAGGCTGAGCCTAAGGAGACGAAGCAGGCCGAACCGAAGGTTGAGGTCAAGAAGGAGAAGGTAGGCAGAGATGACGCTCCTGGCGGTAGCCGGGGGTCGGCTGAAGGGCAGAAGAGAGAAAGGAAGTCCCGTTGGGATCCCGACGAGACTGTGAAGGAGTCGACAAAGCGGGAGGCATCAACGAGGCCTGATGACGTTGACAGCAGACCAGGTGCGGCAGCGAGAGAGGCTAGTGGAGATGATCTTCATTCCGCGCTTGGTAGGTCTTCGGCAAAGGACGCGGTAGCGCCTTTGACGGCCTCCAAGGCAATGGCGAAGAGGCCGGCCGAGCGAGCTGCGGCGAGCCCGGTGGAAGGTCACTTCCTGGTGCTGCCAGAGAGTTCGGTGGTGGACGCCCTCCTGTCGATTTCCACCAATAGAGTGCTGAACAGGCAGGTCAGAGATTTCATCAGGAATGGTGAAGACGCTTCAGCACTGGAGGCTCTCAACCAGATCGTGACGAACTCTCGCCCTGGGAGGAGACGTAGGGACTCGGACGTTTCCCGCACTCCTTCTCGGAGGTCCGTTAGGACCGTGGACACTCGGGATTCCCGAGAGTCAAGAATTAAGGCGCAGATACCGTCCGCGGCGTGACGAAGATCGTGACCGGAGGAGGGACGATGCTCGTGATCGTCGTGATGATGACTCACTCGATCGGGAGCGAGATCGAAGGCGAGATGATCGCAGGAGATCCGAGAGGGATCGTGATAGGGACCGTGCGCGGGGCGGACGTGAGCGGCGGAGACGTGACGATAGCCGATAGGCTGAGTCACGAGGATTGCGGCCGATAGGCTTGCGTCCATTCTCCAATGGTCGGCGCGGTGCGGTGATGGTGATGTTCCTCCCACACCGCTGAGGCGCGGAGATCATGTCTCTCCCGTACCGCCGCTTGGCTGCTGGTCGTGCTCATCATGAAGTAGTATGAGTGAGAGGGGAAGCAAACTGGTGGGGGGATACTCCCAGGTTTGCGGAATTCAAGCATTTTTCAGGTACGCATGGTCAGGGGTACCTCTTGCCGATAGGCGAGGGTACTAATGGACATACGTTATCCTTTGTTTCATGGCTTCTGATAAGAATTAAACTTCTTGCATTGTTGATGCAAACAGTTGTGGCCTAGTGCCGTCATGTGGACTCTTCCACAAGGTGTGTTGGACAGCGTTACCCCGATTAATTCGGGGTGGTGGCGGGATTTTAATGTCCGGGACGTCGCGCAACTGCCTTTGTGGGATTGCTCCACCGCTGACGGCGGTAGTGTCCAGCTGTTTGCGGATACATGCGAGCAGTTAAATCCTATCAGTAAATGGCACGCTCCACCCGTCATATGACGGGCCTCGTGAGGGGGGTGTGATTAGCCATGTCTTAAACCATCACCAGGGATGTCGCGATAGTGACTGACCGGTGGTGTTTGGCTCAAGTTTGGATCCGGCGCGCCTCGGATGAGCGTCGCCGGGCCCTCACGTCGACCGCCTTCGTGTCGGAGGAGAAAGAGACTTCGGCCCGGGGTAGGTTGGTGGGGATCGCCCGTGCGGCTCATCGTCGACCAAGGTTGCGGGTATCCTTTTCTCATTTGGTTTGTTTCCTTTTGGTTGTTGTTCTCTGGTGTGTGTGGGAAACCCTGATCTTTGGGACCGGGGATTGGTTTGCTTTTGGGGAACCTTTCTTTTGTGGCTTGTTTACCCCAACTAACTTATTGCCTGGGCACAGGCTCGTGCCCGAATCACAATATGTATTGGTTGAATGATTTGCCCAGATTGCCCCCTTACGCACGGAGGCGCTTCGAGAAGTTGCAGCCTTCCGGCACGGCGGCACAGAAGGGTGGTGCATGACGTGCATGTTTGTCCCTGGTGAACACAGATCCCCATAGTGATGTCCACTAATGGGTCCCGAAATTCAGATTCGTGCCTGATATGTGTCAGTATTGGTGTGTGTGTGTGCAATCAGACTCTGCTCTGTTTGTGCTTGCTTGGTGGTTTGGACTGTTTCGCGCCCACTTGAGAAACAGGTCCAAGCCAGCAATTTGACTTTTCCTGTCAGCCAGAAAGATAGGCCTTTGCGAATCAAAGTCTTTGATCATCTCCAGTCAACGGGACGGCTTCTCCGCGCCTTCCACAGCGTTCTAGGCACATAACATCCTATTTCACCGGTTGCCACGATGTGTACGGCCAAAACCTGCTGAGATTTGTGAGGATTTGGTTTTGGTCGTTTGTGAACAGGACTGGAACCCCCCAGCTCATTGATTTCAGTTCAGATTCCCTTGCTGGTGGCTTTACTCTGTAAATGGCTCCCAAAATGCCGCAACATTGGGTTCCACCCTTCTAAATCCGCAACCACAGCCAGTCGCTTAGCGCGGAAGCCTGCGCGGAAGGAAGCGTGGGCGGCTGCCAGCCATGAGCTGGTGCGGTGTGGATGCCCAGTCCGTTTGAATTCACAACCGCTGGCTTTGGTTTCTGTTTTCTCCAAAAAACAAGTTGGTGTCATTTTGTCTTTCTGAAACCAAGTTGATTTGTGTGCTTTGCTCAAGCCAACTTGGCTTCTGTCGGTCTCTCCAGAAGCCAAGTTGGTGTCTCTCCCAAACCAAATTGAGTTCAGTTGCTGTCCATTTACCGAGGCCCGATCGAGTTTAGCCCTCGTTAGGAATTGCCGAGCTGCGCGTTTGTTGCGTTACAGACCGGAATTAGTCTTTCAATGCAACGAAAGCTCCTTGTTGAGTTTGCCTCGTAACCCAAAGGTTTGTCCTCTCCTTTTGCTTCATTGGAAACCGTCTATTTGTCACTTCCTCCGGGATGTTCTCGTCATTTAATGCAATGTGACTGATGCAGCATAGGCAAGGGTATATCATTTGTCATGTTGATGGCTTGGTCTTGAGGACATGGTTCTTGTGAAACTCAATTCATTGCTGGTGTGCTGATGACAAGTATCCGTTTACAAGGCGTCCTTGTGCCAAGCGCTTGACTGCATGCCTTACCAATGGCAAAGTGGCCCTGTGCAAGCAGTCGTTAGATTGAGAAGCTGCACTGTGTTGAATGATTTGCATAACCTGTCTCTGCAGACTCTGTGCAAATTTAGCAGTCTACCTTATGTTGAAGTGTAAAGGCATCGGGCAGGCAAGGACAATCGAGCAGCAATCAAGCATGGGGGGGAAGCATTGTCCAGATTTGGAGGCGGCACAAGGCGGCAAAAGCGTGGAAACAATAGACGGAAGGTCCAACTTTATGTTCAAGCAAGGGTCAATTCCACCATGTTCAGCCAAACTAGTTGTCTCGCCTTGGGCAAACGACCCAACATGTCTCAACATAACAAGAGTTTATTTGGACTCTTTTTTAGGGCAGTTGGCTGGAAACCTAACAGAAGGGAATCCCCTCGTTTAGGAAACGGGTTGGGAAACCAAGCAACCAACCCATTTTTTGGGGCCCTGTTTCGAGTTTGTTTCTCTGTTTTGGAAGCCCAAGCACAAACTCACCCGACCGCGTGGTTCATGCTTCCCCAGCCCTTTCAGTCCTTTTCAGTGCGCACGCGCACACACATGCGGGGTTGTCAAAGGCACCAAAAAGGGATCCACCATTGGGGATTTTGAGGAATGATGTGGTCCAACATAGTCAGATCCACCTCTCGGAGTATCAATATGAGAAGGTCATGCAGCTTGGCCATCAATGCCTTATTCCCAACGGAGTGCAAGACAAGGACCCAGGGGAGCAACAAGCATATATGGTAGAGTCCGCAAAGTCAAACTAGTGTGAGTCTGGCAGGCAGAAAAGAAGAGGTTCCCTCAAAACGCCCGTCATTATCGGTTTCTGGGGTGATTGGCGATATCACCAAAACATGTTCAATTCAAGAAGTTGCTGAAGTCGTTAAGGAAGTATGACGATGGTTGTTTTGCAAGGCTTGCATTGTTGAATTGTTCATGTGCCGCGTGCCCCACACGGCTCGTCGCCACGGTCTAACACACCTCAAGCGTCACGCTTTCTACACACAACTGCATTGGTTCGACCCTGGCAGAAACAAAAAGCAACGAAGCTTGCAGAAAGCCCAAAACAAGAAGAAAACCAAAGCAACACACTAAAAAATACAGAAAACCCCAAAACAAGAACACATGTTCCCACATGTATCATACATGCAAATAATTGTGTATATGTATATATATACATATATATATATACATATATAGATATATCATGTGTATATATACACCATATATACATGTATGTATTTGTATAATCAAAGAGCTCACAGGTGTCCCACCCCTGAGGCGGCCCAGAGCTCGGCTTCGCGTCACTGTGGCGCTGCTCACAGCCGGGACTCCCGTCTCCTTCGTCAGTTTTGTGTTTGCGCGAGGAAGAAAAGACGAGCACATTCGGGAGGTTACCTGACTTACAGTGACTTATCCTCAAGCAAATGGAAGGTTACCTCACTTACCTTTCGATAATCATGGATGCTGACAGGAGGGTCTGGAATGATCCCTATGAATCATCCAACTGATGGTTTCCTTTACAGAAGGGGTCGTCATGGGCCCTGCCTTTGGCATATATGGGAAATGTGCAAAAAAACTCGTTAAAAAAAAATAAAAAAATGCCCCAGGCATGTACCTGGACCTTCGTTTGAGCACATTTTTCCGCGCAAAAAAAACAACGCTCATTCCAAGAAGAAACGCGCAATCCACTTGAAAACGCGCAACTGTTTTCTTAGGGGCCCTACACTTCCACCAACAACCTTGGTTCCCCTGTTTCTGGGGGCCCTACACTATATGTATATATATATATATCATTAAAACAAACATACAGCCTGAGCAGCTCGGCATCGTGGCCTTCTCCTTTTTCATCCTCACCAGCATCCACTGCCGGCCGGGGGGCTCAGCGGAAACACCCAGCGATCTGGGCTTTGTACTGACAAAGGGCCCGTTCCAGCGTACGCTGGGCAAGGCGAAGGGAGTTAACCCTTCTTGATAGTCGGCATATCCGGCCTATGAAATCCTCGTCGCTCCAGCATGCAAAACCTCGACAAAAGAATGATCAATTCTGATCGCTTGTTTTTTGTTTGCATGCATGCAGTCAAGAAGCTGTCCGGGTTGATGCATGCACATGTGTGTGGGGACTCTGCTTGAAGTTCCAGCATTCTCCTAGATTGGTGAAGCATCATCAAGCAATCGATTCTGTCAACCATATGGTTCACTGCAGAATCTTGAGGCAAGCATCACCAGGTGGCCGAAGAGATGAATCTTCGGCCTTTGATAGAAGAGGCACCGTTGTCGGGACAAACAAAGGGCAGCTAGGGCACCATATCCTTCCTTGGCTCGGTGTATTTCGGCTAAAGCGTCTCCAGCATATACGTGTTTAAAGGGTGCATCCTAGGTTCAAGCATTGCCCAGCCAGACTGTGCAAGCTCACGCCCCAGAGCCTTCTCTATGAAAAGCCCCTGCTGAGCACAAGTAGCGAGGAACTTATTGCACCCGCGCAGCATGTACGCCATAACCTCCAGAACATTCTTGTCTTCCAGGGCCTGAGGGATACACTTGCTACACTTCCACACACCAGGTTGTTGTGCTCAGTAGCAGTTGGGGAGTGATTAATCCTTTTGTGACTGAAACAAATGATTTCGACCAAAGGGGCCACTAGTACCACAGGCCGGTTACGCGTCTTTCCTTCCAAGAGGGACCCTTGGTTATTTCGGCGGTTTTTCGAACCCGGCCATCGTGCCCCCTTCGGATTTCAGCAAAGGGTCAACCTGATCTCTTGGCAACCCATCCACCACGGACATGAGCCAGCGGCAAAGGACTGCGGCATCGAACCCTTTGCCACATCCACGAGGATACTGCTGAAGCCTCAGCTGAGCTCGATGGGGGGACTGGCGCTAACCCGGGGCCAAAATAGAACGGGTGCAACATTTTGACCGAATGGCGATGTAGCACGGAACTCCTGGAGGCTGAACTCTGTTATCGAAGTGTACTTGCCCGCTCTTTTGCAGAAGTCTTTGAAGCTAATGAAGGCTAGGTCCAGCTTTTCGCCAATGTTGTTTCCACCAAAGACTCCCATGTGGACCCCTAGCAGCACTGTACATGACGCTGCCATGTCCTTTCCAAACCCTTGGATCGCAAACGTATGGGCTGGGTCTATGAGAATTTTTGAAGGGCAATCCATACCAGGCAGTGCACGAAGTGGTGAGAAGGATGTGGTTTTGAACGGGCTTTCAGCTGGCACATTCACACTCCATTGGCGCAGGAGTGATTCAGGTCGAAGATCCCACCAATCCTGCACCGGTACATGAATTCAAATTAACTGTGCCACATGCAGAGTTCAATTCAATTGGTTAGACACGCATGTCTGAAGCCAAGCCACCGAGGCCTCGCACAAATGACATTTTCTTGTGGAGGTATAGCCTGTTTGCAAATGCCAAGCACGTCGAAGAAATGGCCAGTCCCCTTTGCATCCAAGTGGTATGAACCGGAAGGTGTAGCCTTGAACCTTAGCATTTCAACTCCGCAGTAGCTGGATTTTACAACAGGCGGTTAGCAACTGATCCCTTTGAGCTATGGCACTGGGAATCCTTGTTCATACATCGACTGCAAGTCCTGCACAAGGTGCCACAGGGCTGTGTCCAAGGTGGATCCATCCGGCGCATAGAGCTCGCCCCGAATCACCGTGTAAACAAGCCGGGTTGTGAAGCTATGCCTTGGCTTGAAAGCAATCAATGCCACCCTATTCACAGCTCAGAATAAAACATGTGGCACCCTTGAAGACCAAGTTACCCTGATGTGTTCAAGTGGCTCAAACCTTTGAAGCTGATCATCGGCTGGAAGGATAGAACCATGACTTGACGACGAACCTTTCCCCTGCCTTCATCTCCATGCAACATGTACGGGATGCAAAAGGATGTGTCCACATCTTCCGCGAATAGTGGGAGCCCTGGATCAGTCCCCCGGTATCGTTGCCAGAATACCCCTAGAACCTCCCGGAACCCTTCATCACCAAGGTCACAACCTCCAAGAAGTAGACGAGGCTCCTCCCTGAACAGACATTCCACCCAAGAGCTCAAGGGCAAGGTAGGGTAGGAAACATGCTGTATTTTCGCCGTCCGTCGGTCAGACCGAATCGGAATGGGTACATATTTCAGTTTTGCATCCAGCATTTGCCCATTGTTCTGCATCTCCTTGTGCAGGTTCCGAGCGATGTTTCTTTTGAACCTGTCATTTCTCCCACATCTAGCCAACCTCGCAATTCTGTAATGGGGCACGCCTAGGGGATGCCAACTCTTCACGACACATGTGTGTATTCTGCACATTAACTAAAGCTGCCTAGCTGCGATGTTTCCTCAATATCCGAGAGACTTTGGTGGCCGTGCTGACTACTTGATCAGAGGATGAAGCCTGAGTAAGCAACCACCGTATGGGACCACCCCCAAAACATCCAAGCCAACCAAGCAACTCCGGACCGGAAACTGGCAATTAGATCGTCGGCCAGGTCGGTATCGGAGGACTCCGTGCCTGGGCGCCAAAGCGGGATGGAGCGGAGCAGCGGGATCAATGTATTGGGCCCCTCAAAGTAACACTGCTGTCACTGGATGGATCCCTAGTAGGGGCTTTTTTGTAGAAACCAACTCCCTCAAGTACCTAGCGATCCAATCAGTTCCACGCATAACATCAAACTTGTTCGTTGTTAACTGTAGTAGGCCAACTGCAACGGAAGCCACCCATGGGTTTCAATCCAAATTCAAGCAACCTGTTTGATTTGAGTGGTTGGACCCCTAAAGATTTAAGACGCATAGCCCACTAGTTTTCCAAGGTATCCAGTAGCTCTGACAAAATCGAGCTAGCCTATAGGTTTCAGACCCTGGCGACGTACATGAGCCAAGCTCCCAAGTCTCCCTCCAACATGCCCACCTCAGCGCAATTGCTGGCCAGCCACCATCGTCAACTGGTAGAAGTTGTTTATTGCGATGGCCTGGCTTCACACGCACATTGCTGGAACACACGCACATACATGTGCACATCGTGGAGGATGGGGTCAGCTGCTCAACTTCTTTTCACCATATCGCACCGGTGACCTGGTGAACCTCCTGCAAGCAGCACCCCTTCCATCCCCAAAACCGGGAAGGGATGATAAATGCCGCAGGCGGCGCTACCCAGGGCCCATCGATGATTGAATGGGGACAATGGGGACAAGGGCTCCAAATGAATCTCAAAATTATTTTGATAGGTCTCAAATATGCCAACTGCCTAGCTTTTCCGGAGCCCCAGCCGCAAAACTAAATCACCCACCAGCTTGCCCAAAGCCCTAAGACTTTCTCTGGCCGCGCTTTGCCTTGGCTTTCGCCTTTGGCTTCGCCTTTGCCCGCTCAGGCTTCTCCTCAGCCTCCTCAGCCTCCTCAGCCTCCTCAGCCTCCTCGGCCTTCCGCTTCTTCGCCGGCGCCTTGGAGGCTGCACTGGTCGAAGCCGCCGGTCTGCATGCCCTTGCAGGGCAAGGAAAATCCCAGACACATAAAACAGCGACATCAACAACAACATCAAACACACACACACACACACACACACACACACACACACACACACACACCATCAACAAAAGCATGGCACCACCGCCCAAAGCAACACCACAAGCAACAACAATCAGAACAGCCCAGAGGACTCGACAGCAACCCCAACATCACCACCACTACCACCACCAGCACCAGAACCAGCAGCACCAACAACAAAAGCAACAGCAGCAGCAACAAGAGCAACAGCATCATCAACAGCTAGCAATAGAAAATCAATACCAACCTCAGTATCAGCAGCATCATCAAGAACAACATCAACATGAACACCAACATCATCATCAACACCAACACCATCATCATCAGCATCATCATTATCAACATCATCATCATCATCATCATCATCATCATCATCATCATCATCATCATCATCATCATATATCATCATCATCATCCTCATCATCAACATCATCATCATCACCATCACCATCATGAACAACAACAGCAACAGCAACAGCAACAGCAACAACAACAACAACAACAACAAAGAAAAATAGCACCAGCACCAGCACCATGACCAGCACAAACACAAGCACCAGCACCAGCACGAGCAGCAGCACCACCACCACAAGCACCACCAGCACTAGCACCAGCACCAACTGCAACATCAACACAACAGCAGCAGCAACAGCAGCGTCAACAGCAACAGCAAATGCAAATGCAACAGCCGCAGCTACAACCACGGCAACAGCAGCAGCAACAAGAGCAACATCATCATCAACAGCAAAAAAACATCAACATCATCATCAATAGCAACAACATCATC